TGTCATTTGTATGTTTTCATGTCTGTGTTTCCTGTAATAATAATAATAATAAATAATAATAATAATAATAATGTGGTGCAGGAAGAGACTCTTGAGAGTCCCCTGGACTGCAAAGAGAACAAACCTATCCATTTTGAAGGAAATCAACCCTGAGTGCTCACTGGAAGGACAGATTCTGAAGCTGAGGCTCAGATACTTTAGGCCATTTCATGAGAAGAGAAGACTCCCTGGAAAAGACCCTGATGTTGGGAAAACGTGAGGGCAAGAGGAGAAGGGGATGACAGAGGATGAGATGGTTGGACAGTGTCATCGAAGCGACCAACATGAATTTGACGCAACCGGGAGGCAATGGAAGATAGGAGGGCCTGTCGTGCTCTGGTCCATGGGGTCACGAAGAGTCAGACGCAACTTAACGACTAAACAACAACAAATGAAACTAAGCAATTCGTATAATCAGAGCCACACCCACTTCTGGCTTTGCCTCTGCTACCACGCTGGTATCCCCAAACATACACACACTCATTATTTGGGGGGGGTGTGTGTGTGCAGCCCTTGACATAAAAAGATATCTAAATACAGTATTTCTTTTTTTCCTTTATTTACTTCCGGAGGCTATGGCCACTTCCAAATAGACAGCTTTTAACACTACCATGAAAAACAATGGGGGGGGGGACAAAATACCAAGCTTTAAGTAAATTAAATTTATGAATACAAGTAGCTTTTTGTGTACAACAGAAGGAAGCTGCAGTCCATGGAAGAATTAGGAGCTGGTAGAGAATTCTAAACAGAGCAAAACACTAGCCCTAGCAATGCACATGAGCCTAACTGCACAGTGCAATGGTTCTATAGTTGATTTCTGGCCACACACCCAGAACAATTCTCAGCACGTGATGTTATGAGCTGCCTTTTCTATGCACCTTGCTGTAGATGAGACAGAAGTCTGGGTCTGCATGAAACCATCTTTGAAAGAACGAGGAAGCATTACAGGAAGTTCCTGGCCCAAAGTTCCCATTTGCCCATGAAGTCATTGGAAACAGCTGACAAGCTGTAACTCTTGTCCACCACCTTCCCCTCTCCATTTAAAAATCTTGAAGAGTTTTGATTGCATTAGTGCAAGTGATCACTGCTCTGATCCAGTTCCAATTGACCACCTGGTTACTAGTCTTCTTTCCAGTGACAGGCTCTCTGTACTAACTTATGCTAGTCCTTGGACAGCGGACAAACTGTCTTCTCCCTTGGTGGTGTTCAAAGCCTTACCAGCTTGCCAAGCCTGCAAAGAGCCTTGCGCTTCTCCAGCGGAGCAGAGCCTTCAAGAGCCCCGGTCACCTCCACACTATTGTAAGCAGGCAAAACTAAACTTTGTAGAGGCAAGTTTTTGCTGCTCTGTTGGTGTTATTTCAGAGATCTGCAGCTGGCTGTAATCATAGGAACTATTTTTCGTACTGTGAGAAGAATTGATAATAAATCTTCTATCTTGTGAGCATATAATGACCACCTACTGAATTCAGCATTAAACAGATTAGACTCTTTGGAATTGAATGACTACCTGTGTTTTCTGAAGCCAGAGTTGCCACTTTCTTTTCTGGCAAGGGCCTTGTTTTTTTTTTAAAGAATTGCATGACAAACAGAAAATGAATGAAGACTTTTCACAGTGAAGAGAGATAATGATGAAGTAACATTACTCCCAGATGGATTCTTGTCTATCACAAAGTTTATTAATAGCTCGGAAGCCCTGCCAGGGGAATAAAAAGGTGTCAAACCAATCTGAAACACCAGTGTTTTATTTTTCAAAATTTCATTTGATTATATATTCCTATTTGGAAACTTTAATACAAGACTAGCTTGATAGTTTGAAAGTTTAAATCAGGACCACTTTGTTCAATATTCATTGCATAATGGGAGACATACCTTCTACTAGAAAACTATAGACTGCTACACATACTGTATTGTTAAAGCAAGGTAAAATAATTCATCATGCTAAAGCACTCTTATAACACAATTATGCAAAAAAAACAACTTGCCCCCACCCTTCAGTGAGCTGGGTACTCATTTTGCCAAGCTTAGAAGGATGGAAGGCTGAGTGAACCTCAAGTTGGCTACCTGAGCCCATCAAGATTGAACTCATGTTGCAAGCAGAGCCTTGACTGCAGTACTTTAACCACTATACCATAAGACTCTTTATCCATCTGCTTGTCTTCCATTGTAATATACAACAGTCACCTTTCACATTCTACAGAAAAGCATTTGACATTAAAAGGGGCAATAATTCATAAATCAATGGGATACAATTTCATCTCCCTCAGATGGCTGTTTTGAACCTTAAAGGGGTGAGTCTCCAATGAAGGAAAATCTGAACACCAGCATTAGCTTTTGTTACTTGCAGCCTGAATGAGATAGTATAGACTTTCCCTATGTTTTAGATTTTCCCTATGTCCAGATGTTTTAGATCAACCCCCTGCCCCCAAGCAACCCAGCCAGCATGGACAATGATCAAGAATCCTGGGAGTCCAACACAACCAGAGGGTACCAAGTTGGAAAAGGCTGAGATGCTACTGTTAATTAGCTTACCCTGTACCAGGATGTTTGTGTTAACATTAAGAATATTTTGTGAATAATGATCAGTATGAAATTACTTCACAAACATGTAAACGTTAACATGAATGTCACAGTATATATATACTGTGCGCATATATGTATATGCAAA